TGCGTGTGTGAGTGCGTGCGTCTTTCTTCTCCTGTGTGTGCGTGTGTGAGTGCGTGCGTCTTTCTTCTCCTGTGTGTGCGTGTGTGAGTGCGTGCGTCTTTCTTCTCCTGTGTGTGCGTGTGTGAGTGCGTGCGTCTTTCTTCTCCTGTGTGTGCGTGTGTGAGTGCGTGCGTCTTTCTTCTCCTGTGTGTGCGTGTGTGAGTGCGTGCGTCTTTCTTCTCCTGTGTGTGCGTGTGTGAGTGCGTGCGTCTTTCTTCTCCTGTGTGTGCGTGTGTGAGTGCGTGCGTCTTTCTTCTCCTGTGTGTGCGTGTGTGAGTGCGTGCGTCTTTCTTCTCCTGTGTGTGCGTGTGTGAGTGCGTGCGTCTTTCTTCTCCTGTGTGTGCGTGTGTGAGTGCGTGCGTCTTTCTTCTCCTGTGTGTGCGTGTGTGAGTGCGTGCGTCTTTCTTCTCCTGTGTGTGCGTGTGTGAGTGCGTGCGTCTTTCTTCTCCTGTGTGTGCGTGTGTGAGTGCGTGCGTCTTTCTTCTCCTGTGTGTGCGTGTGTGAGTGCGTGCGTCTTTCTTCTCCTGTGTGTGCGTGTGTGAGTGCGTGCGTCTTTCTTCTCCTGTGTGTGCGTGTGTGAGTGCGTGCGTCTTTCTTCTCCTGTGTGTGCGTGTGTGAGTGCGTGCGTCTTTCTTCTCCTGTGTGTGCGTGTGTGAGTGCGTTGCGTCTTTTCTTCTCCTGTGTGTGCGTGTGTGAGTGCGTGCGTCTTTCTCTCCTGTGTGTGCGTGTGTGAGTGCGTGCGTCTTTCTTCTCCTGTGTGTGCGTGTGTGAGTGCGTGCGTCTTTCTTCTCCTGTGTGTGCGTGTGTGAGTGCGTGCGTCTTTCTTCTCCTGTGTGTGCGTGTGTGAGTGCGTGCGTCTTTCTTCTCCTGTGTGTGCGTGTGTGAGTGCGTCTCTCTCTTCTCCTGTGTGTGCGTGTGTGCGTGCGTCTCTCTCTTCTCCTGTGTGCGTGCGTCTCTCTCTTCTCCTGTGTGCGTGCGTCTCTCTCTTCTCCTGTGTGCGTGCGTCTCTCTCTTCTCCTGTGTGCGTGCGTCTCTCTCTTCTCCTGTGTGCGTGCGTCTCTCTCTTCTCCTGTGTGCGTGCGTCTCTCTTCTCCTATGTGAGTGCGTGTGTCTTCTGTGTGTGTGAGTGCGTGTGTCTTTCTTCTCCTGTGTGTGTGAGTGTGAGTGCGTGTGTCTTTCTTCTCCTGTGTGTGTGAGTGTGAGTGCGTGTGTCTTTCTTCTCCTGTGTGTGTGAGTGTGAGTGCGTGTGTCTTTCTTCTCCTGTGTGTGTGAGTGCGTGCGTCTTTCTTCTCCTGTGTGTGTGAGTGCGTGCGTCTTTCTTCTCCTGTGTGTGCGTGTGTGAGTGCGTGCGTCTTTCTTCTCCTGTGTGTGCGTGTGTGAGTGCGTGCGTCTTTCTTCTCCTGTGTGTGCGTGTGTGAGTGCGTGCGTCTTTCTTCTCCTGTGTGTGCTTGTGTGAGTGCGTGCGTCTTTCTTCTCCTGTGTGTGCGTGTGTGAGTGCGTGCGTCTTTCTTCTCCTGTGTGTGCGTGTGTGAGTGCGTGCGTCTTTCTTCTCCTGTCTGTGTGTGTGAGCGTGTGTCTTTCTTCTCGTCTGTGTGTGTGAGTGTGTGTCTCTCTTCTCCTGTGTGTGTTTGAGCGCGTGTGTCTCTCTTCTCCTGTGTGTGTGTGAGCGCGTGTGTCTCTCTTCTCCTGTGTGTCTGTGTGAGCGCGTGTGTCTCTCTTCTCCTGTGTGTCTGTGTGAGCGCGTGTGTCTCTCTTCTCCTGTGTGTCTGTGTGAGCGCGTGTGTCTCTCTTCTCCTGTGTTTGTGTGTGAGTGCGTGTGTCTCTCTTCTCCTGTGTGTGTGTGTGTGTGAGTGCGTGTGTCTCTCTTCTCCTGTGTGTGTGTGTGTGAGTGCGTGTGTCTTTCTTCTCCTGTCTGTGTGTGTGTGTGAGTGCGTGTGTCTTTCTTCTCCTGTGTGTGTGAGTGTGTGTCTCTCTTCTCCTGTATGTGTTTGAGCGCGTGTGTCTCTCTTCTCCTGTGTGTGTGTGAGCGCGTGTGTCTCTCTTCTCCTGTGTGTGTGTGAGCGCGTGTGTCTCTCTTCTCCTGTGTGTCTGTGTGAGCGCGTGTGTCTCTCTTCTCCTGTGTGTGTGTGTGTGAGTGCGTGTGTCTCTCTTCTCCTGTGTGTGTGTGTGAGTGCGTGTGTCTCTCTTCTCCTGTGTGTGTGTGAGTGCGCGTGTCTCTCTTCTCCTGCGTGCGTGAGTGCGCGTGTCTCTCTTCTGTGTGTGCGTGAGTGCGCGTGTCTCTCTTATCCTGAGGGTGAGTGCGCGTGTCTCTCTTCTCCTGAGTGTGTGTGAGTGCGTGTGTCTTCTCCTGTGTGTGTGAGTGCGTGTCTTTTTTTTCCTGTGTGTGTGTGTGAGTGCGTGTGTCTTTGTTCTCCTGTGTATGTGTGTGCGTGTGTCTTTCTTCTCCTGTGTGTGTGTGCGCGTGTGTCTTTCTTCTCCTGTGTGTGTGTGCGCGTGTGTCTTTCTTCTCCTGTGTGTGTGTGTGTGCGCGTGTGTCTTTCTTCTCCTGTGTGTGTGTGTGCGCGTGTGTCTTTCTTCTCCTGTGTGTGTGTGCGCGTGTGTCTTTCTTCTCCTGTGTGTGTGAGTGCGTGTGTCTTTCTTCTCCTGTGTGTGTGAGTGCGTGTGTCTTTCTTCTCCTGTGTGTGTGAGTGCGTGTGTCTTTCTTCTCCTGTGTGTGTGAGTGCGTGTGTCTTTCTTCTCCTGTGTGTGTGAGTGCGTGTGTCTTTCTTCTCCTGTGTGTGTGAGTGCGTGTGTCTTTCTTCTCTTGTGTGTGTGAGTGCGTGTGTCTTTCTTCTCCTGTGTGTGAGTGCGTGTGTCTTTCTTCTCCTGTGTGTGTGAGTGCGTGTGTCTTTCTTCTCTTGTGTGTGTGAGTGCGTGTGTCTTTCTTCTCTTGTGTGTGTGAGTGCGTGTGTCTTTCTTCTCCTGTGTGTGAGTGCGTGTGTCTTTCTTCTCCTGTGTGCGTGTGTCTTCTCCTGTGTGTGTGTGAGTGGGTGTGTCTTTCTTCTCCTGTGTGTGTGTGAGTGCGTGTTTCTTTCTTCTCCTGTGTGTGTGTGAGTGCGTACGTCTCTCTCTTCTCCTGTGTGCGTGTGTCTCTCTTCTGTGTGCGTGTCTCTCTTCTCCATTGTGTGAGTGCATGTGTCTTCTGTGTGTGTGAGTGCGTGTGTGAGTGCATGTGTCTTTCTTCTCCTGTGTGTGTGTGTGTGTGAGTGCGTGTCTTTCTTCTCCTGTGTGTGTGTGAGTGCGTGTCTTTCTTCTCCTGTGTGTGTGTGAGTGCGTGTGTCTTTCTTCTCCTGAGTGTGTGTGTGAGTGCGTGTGTCTTTCTTCTCCTGTGAGTGTGTGTGAGTGCGTGTGTCTTTCTTCTCCTGTGAGTGTGTGTGTGAGTGCGTGTCTTTCTTCTCCTGTGTGTGTGAGTGCGTGTCTTTCTTCTCCTGTGTGTGTGAGTGCGTGTGTCTTTCTTCTCCTGTGTGTGTGAGTGCGTGTGTCTTTCTTCTCCTGTGTGTGTGAGTGCGTGTGTCTTTCTTCTCCTGTGTGTGTGAGTGCGTGTGTCTTTCTTCTCCTGTGTGTGTGAGTGCGTGTGTCTTCTCCTGTGTGTGTGTGTGAGTCTTCTCCTGTGTGTGTGTGTGAGTGGGTGTGTCTTCTCCTGTGTGTGTGTGAGTGCGTGTTTCTTTCTTCTCCTGTGTGTGTGTGTGTGTGAGTGCGTACGTCTCTCTCTTCTCCTGTGTGCGTGTGTCTCTCTTCTCCTGTGTGCGTGTCTCTCTTCTCCATTGTGTGAGTGCATGTGTCTTCTGTGTGTGTGAGTGCGTGTGTCTTTCTTCTCCTGTGTGTGTGAGTGCGCGTGTCTCTCTTCTCCTGTGTGTGTGTGAGTGCGTGTGTCTCTCTTCTCCTGTGTGTGTGTGCGCGTGTCTCTCTCTTCTCCTGTGTGTGTGTGCGCGTGTCTTTCTCTTCTCCTGTGTGTGTGTGCGCGTTCCTCTCTCTTCTCCTGTGTGTGTGTGAGTGCGCGTTCCTCTCTCTTCTCCTGTGTGTGTGTGTGCGCGTTCCTCTCTCTTCTCCTGTGTGTGTGTGCGCGTGTCTTTCTCTTCTCCTGTGTGTGTGTGCGCGTGTCTCTCTCTTCTCCTGTGTGTGTGTGAGTGCGCGTTCCTCTCTCTTCTCCTGTGTGTGTGTGTGCGCGTTCCTCTCTCTTCTCCTGTGTGTGTGTGTGCGCGTTCCTCTCTCTTCTCCTGTGTGTGTGTGTGCGCGTTCCTCTCTCTTCTCCTGTGTGTGTGTGCGCGTGTCTCTCTCTTCTCCTGTGTGTGTGTGCGCGTTCCTCTCTCTTCTCCTGTGTGTGTGTGAGTGCGCGTTCCTCTCTCTTCTCCTGTGTGTGTGTGAGTGCGCGTTTCTCTCTCTTCTGTGTGTGTGTGAGTGCGCGTTCCTCTCTCTTCTCCTGTGTGTGTGTGAGTGCGCGTTCCTCTCTCTTCTCCTGTGTGTGTGTGAGTGCGCGTCTCCCTCTCTCTTCTCCTGTGTGTGTGTGAGTGCGCGTCTCCCTCTCTCTTCTCCTGTGTGTGTGTGAGTGCGCGTCTCCCTCTCTTCTCCTGTGTGTGCACGTGTGCGTGTCTCCCTCTCTTCTCCAGTGTGTGCACGTGTGCGTGTCTCTCTATCTTCTCCTGTGTGTGCACGTGTGCGTGTCTCTCTATCTTCTCCTGTGTGTGCACGTGTGCGTGTCTCTCTATTCTGTGTTTGCGTGTCTCTTGTGTGCGTGTCTCTATTTTCCTGTGTGTGTGCGTGCGTCTCCAACTGCAGAGCGCGTGGTGGAAATTCCACATTGCTTTTACATAGGTCGGTATATTCATAAGACAAACCGTCGTTGACTCGGCAGCGACCCAATAAATAGGGGCTCACAAACTGCAAATCTCCTCTCAACTATGCCTGGTCTGTTTTGTGCTCAGGAAGTCCGGCTGCGGCTGGAGGCGGAGCTAAAGAACCTCCGCGAGGAAGCCATGGAGCTCCGCAAGGAGACCGCAGGGCTCCGGGATAGCGAGGAATCTGCGAAGAAACGCGCGGAGGGCCTGGTGGCGGATTTGCAAAAACTCCGCGTAGAGAGAGCGACGGAATTCCGGGATGAGGAAGCTGCGAGGAAGCGAGCAGCCGCCCTGGAGGAGGATGTGCGGGATCTGCTGGACCAGGTGGCGTTGCTCCACAAGGAGATCGCGTGCTTTGAGCAGGCCGAGCAGCTTGCCAAGGAATGCGCACAACAGGCCCAACTGCCCCAGGGGACTGTGCTGATTGGGAAGAGATCGGTAGGCGTGCATGTGGAGATGAAGGACCTCCGAGAGGAGACCACTAGGCTCCAGGAAAATGAGAAATCATTGAAGGCTCACACAAAGTGTCTGGAGGCGGAGGTGAAGAACCTCTGCGAGCAGGCAGTGGAGCTCCGTCAGGAGAACACGAGGCTCCAGGAAAACAAGAAATCATTGAAGATGCATGCCGAGGGCCTGGAGGCAGAGGTGAACAAACTCCGTGAGGAGAACACTATGCTCCAGAAAAACGAGAAATCATTGAAGACTCGCACCGCGTGTCTGGAGGTAGAGGTGAATAACCTCCATGAGGAGTGCACTAAATTCAAGGAAAACGAGAATTCCTTGACTACTCGCACAGAGGGCCTGGAGGCAGAGGTCAAGAATCTCTGTGAGGAGGCAGTGGAGCTCCGTGAGGAGAATACTAGGCTCCAGAAAAACGAGAAATCATTGAAGACTCACACAGAGGTTCTGGAGGCAGAGGTGGATAACCTCCATGAGGAGAACACTAGGCTCCAGGAAAACGAGAAATCATTGAAGACTCGCACTGAGAGCTTGGAGGCAGAGGTGAAGAACCTCCGCGTGGAGACCGTTAGGTTCCAGGAAAACGAGAAATCATTGAAGACTCGCAAAGAGGGTCTGGAGGCAGAGGTGAATAACCTCCATGAGGAGTGCACTAATTTCAAGGAAAACGAGAAATCATTGACTACTCGCACAGAGGGCCTGGAGGCGGAGGTGAATAATCTCTGCAAGGAGACAGTGGAGCTCCGTGAGGAGAACACTAGGCTCCAGGAAAACGAGAAATCATTGAAGACTCACACTGAGAGCTTGGAGGCAGAGGTGAAGAACCTCCGCGAGGAGACGATTAGGCTCCAGCAAAACGAGAAATCATTGAAGACTCGCAAAGAGGGTCTGGAGGCAGAGGTGAAGAATCTCTGCGAGGAGGCAGTGGAGCTCCGTGATGAGAACACTAGGCTCCAGAAAAACGTGAAATCATTGAAGACTCACACAGAGGTTCTGGAGGCAGAGGTGGATACCCTCCATGAGGAGTGCACTAATTTCAAGGAAAACGAGAAATCATTGAAGACTCGCACTGAGAGCTTGGAGGCAGAGGTGAAGAACCTCCGCGAGGAGACCGTTAGGCTCCAGGAAAACGAGAATTCATTGAAGACTCGCACAGAGGGCCTGGAGGCGGAGGTGAAGAATCTCTGCAAGGAGACAGTGGAGCTCCGTGAGGAGAACACTAGGCTCCAGGAAAACGAGAAATCATTGAAGACTCACACTGAGAGCTTGGAGGCAGAGGTGAAGAACCTCCGCGAGGAGACGATTAGGCTCCAGCAAAACGAGAAATCATTGAAGACTCGCAAAGAGGGTCTGGAGGCAGAGGTGAAGAATCTCTGCGAGGAGGCAGTGGAGCTCCGTGAGGAGAACACTAGGCTCCAGAAAAACGAGAAATCATTGAAGACTCACACAGAGGTTCTGGAGGCAGAGGTGGATAACCTCCATGAGGAGTGCACTAATTTCAAGGAAAACGAGAAATCATTGAAGACTCGCACTGAGAGCTTGGAGGCAGAGGTGAAGAACCTCCGCGAGGAGACCGTTAGGCTCCAGGAAAACGAGAATTCATTGAAGACTCGCACAGAGGGCCTGGAGGCGGAGGTGAAGAATCTCTGCAAGGAGACAGTGGAGCTCCGTGAGGAGAACACTAGGCTCCAGGAAAACGAGAAATCATTGAAGACTCACACTGAGAGCTTGGAGGCAGAGGTGAAGAACCTCCGCGAGGAGACGATTAGGCTCCAGCAAAACGAGAAATCATTGAAGACTCGCAAAGAGGGTCTGGAGGCAGAGGTGAAGAATCTCTGCGAGGAGGCAGTGGAGCTCCGTGAGGAGAACACTAGGCTCCAGAAAAACGAGAAATCATTGAAGACTCACACAGAGGTTCTGGAGGCAGAGGTGGATAACCTCCATGAGGAGTGCACTAATTTCAAGGAAAACGAGAAATCATTGAAGACTCGCACTGAGAGCTTGGAGGCAGAGGTGAAGAACCTCCGCGAGGAGACCGTTAGGCTCCAGGAAAACGAGAAATCATTGAAAACTCACACAGAGGGTCTGGAGGCAGAGGTGAATAACCTCCATGAGGAGTGCACTAAATTCAAGAAAAACGAGAAATCATTGACTACTCGCACAGAGGGCCTGGGGGCGGAGGTGAAGAACCTCTGCGATGAGGCAGCGGAGCTCCGTAAGGAGAACACTAGGCTCCAGGAAAATTATAAATCATTGAAGATGCACACAGAAGGCCTGGAGGGGGAGCTGATGAACTTCTGCGATGTGGACAGTGCCCAGCTGGCCTTGGCTAAAGCAAAGGTGATGGCGCCTTGCTGTTTTGCTGTTGTTGGGGCTGTGACTCTTTACGCTCGGTTTACTTTTTTAAATTGATTTGCTCATTGGGTCAGAGGTCAAGGGGTCAGAGACACCGAGTCAGCCAATCGCAGACATTGTATTATCGGGTTCTCAACAGTAGTGCGTCAGTGGTCTTAGGCTAGTCGCCAATGACTTGTGCAGGGACCCGTGGGCTCGTTGTTAAAAAAACCCGTGGGCTCGCGGATGGAACCATAGACGTGCATCGGCATTGCTGCAGTAGTCTTTTTCTCTCTCTCTATCTCCCTTGTCCATCTGTGTCACCAGGCACAGCTGCAGGAGCTGCTGAGTGAGCGAGAGTTCCTCACCAGCACCAACGCGACCCTGCGCTCGGAGCTCCGCGAGCAGGGCCAGGAGTTGGCGCGTGTCCTCGGCCACAACAACTCGCGGCAGCGCATCCACCACGTGATGCAGATCAAGCAGGACAACACCAGGCTCTTTGAGGTGACGGGCAGTGGGGGAGACGGCGGCGGCAGTGGCGACACTACAGTTAGTTCAGCGGCCCCGCAAGGCGGCAGGCAACCCTCGCTGGGTGTCTGTGGGCGAGCGGTGGGCTTGACGGCTCTAGAGCCGGTGCATCCGGGTGGCACGTGGCGGTGGCGAGATGTTAACTCCCTCGCCTGGTATACAGGAGGTCGTGGGTTCGATCCCTGACCTGACGCCTGCTGCATATTTGGGGTTTGCGTGTCTCCCCATGGTTGTTTGGATTTTTCTCCCGAGTCCTCTGGTTTCCCCTCCACATTTATAATCGACACCTGTTTCGAGTATTTGGCTGCTATAAATCTCCACATGATAAGTCACTTTGTTTAGCTATCATTTATGGCCAGGTCGCTTCTGAAAAAAAGCTGCATAGCTCGGTGTGCCTGACTTGGTAAAATATATATTTTTTTTATGAGCCGGGCAGCGGGACAGACTTAGCCGGGTTAGGAGTAACCGGACAGGTCACTGGAGTAGCCGGTTTAACCACAGCTCAGTCTCTTTTGTGAGTTTGGGTCTTTATTCGTGTCTATGGGTCTCTATGGGTTTCTGTGCCTCTGTGTGAATTGGACTCTCTGCGTGAGTATACGGGTCTCTGTGCGTGAGTCTACAGGACTCTGAATCGATGGTTACGGTTGTGGTGGTGCAGGAGGTTTGTGACCTCAAACATCGCTTGGTTAAAGTTGAGGCCAAGGGCAAGCTGACGTCGCAGCCCCGGCCCGACTTCAGGGACTCGTTCAGAATCGCTAACAAGGAGAACAACGGGGACCAGCAGCAGCACCAGCAGCACCAGCAGCACCAGCGATGCCAGCAGCAGCACTAACAGCACCAGCAGCAGGAACAACACCAGCAGCAGTGACAGCAACAGCAGCATTCACGTGTGGTCTTGCCAGAAAAATATCTAACGGTAATAAACTTATATCGATGGTGATGAATCTAGGTCAACATGTGGGGTAAGGTAGGTGTGTGCTTGGGGTGGGTAGGATGGGGTATTCGGGTGAGGGGTAAGTTTGGTGGGTGGGGTGGTTAGGATGGGGTGATCGAGTGGGTGGGGTGAATTTGGTGGGTGGGGTGAATTTGGTGGGTCGGGTTTGTTAAGTGTCTAATATAAACTCTGGGACAACCGTGTCCATTGTTACTCCGATGTCAATAAAGATTCCATTTTATTCTGTCCAATTTGGGTTGCCTCTTCCTATAAACTCAGTCCGGTTAACAGTAGTGTTGGTGGTTTTGATGGGGGCGGTAATGCAGCGGTTAGCGCGCGCTATCATGCGACGCAAGGTCTACGCGAGCAGGGTGGGGGATCTGGGGGGGTAGCACCACCCAAGTCCTTGCCGGCGTGGCGAAGGCCCGCCCGGGGTGGCCCCCACCGCAGGCTGTCTCTCGTGCACGATTTTCACTAGACTCGCTGCCCGGATCACTTGATTCTCTGCCATGCCGCCTGGTCGGACCACGGGCCTGTAGGTACCATCCCCAGCCAGTCTCGCTCTCTCCCTCGGTGTCCTCTTCTACCTCGGAGGACAGCCCTTTTGAGCGGGCAGAGGTGGTCAGCTTGGTGACCAGGGGCCAACTGGCAGTGGCTCACCCCCTCACCCGGTGGTAACCCAACCCCCTCGGGCTTTTGTCTACCTGGCTCTTAGCCCCAGACGTCTTGGCTGACTCCACGTCCGAGTCCCGCGGCGAAGGGGTGGGGCTAGAGGAGCAGGCCCCCTCGGAGTGCACTAGCGTACGCCACACACTCATGATCACACGCCTCAGCTGGGCAATCTCCGCATCCTCCAACCTCACCCCGGGGTGAATACCAGATACCATGCTTTGTTGAGTTGGCGGTGCCTTTGCAACCGTCGCTTTAGGTGTGTGTATATACCTATAGGTGGCCTATCCCGCGGGTGCGTACGTATATTTGTGTATCTTTCCACTGGGTTAGTGTTTAAACCACCTAAGGTTTGACCATTCGCGCTCATGGCTAATCTACACTGTTCCCTCCTTTTCGTGTGCTCTGGTGGCGTGGGGCATAGGTATATCGGACCGGGCTTGGTGCAGTCCGATAGGGGGAACCGCTTCATGTACAATATAAATTACTCGGTGGTGACCCTTCTGCGTGCGACATGAGCGCCGGCCTAAAGTCAGCCCCTTGCCCCATATACCACCCAATACCCCCTCCACCCAAGGTTATGACTTTCCCATGGCTTGGAGACGGCTTTTTGAGGTGGAGACCCTGTACACGCCTTGCTGGAGACGGGGAGGGTTGTCTAAACTGAGAGCCTCCCGTTAGGGCCGAGCCCCCTCATAGATTTACTTCCCCACCTAACCACAACAGTCCATTGCCACACCCACACCGCACCACCAACAACATGAAGACCAAGACGACACGAACTGTAACGTTTCATTTTAATTCTGGTGTGTGACTGGTCCTGGACTGACTTTGTGGGGTGTTTCGACCTGGTGAGCATGGCGCGGTGGCACGAGAACCCAGAAGGTGAGCGTTCGCATGGCACTCGACGCCTACCCCTTGGTCCACACATGACCACTCTCTAGTTTGCTCAACACCAGACCGCTGCCCCTGTTCCTCCACTTTTTGGTTTACGCCCACTCTGCCCTCGGCTTTCTCGTTTCCTACCAATAGGGAGAGCGGTCGTATATGGATTCCACAGCGCCTATCACATTTCACGTTTTACCACCTCCCACCTCGCTAACTTTCAATCTACTTATTTTTGGTTCTTTTGGTAAAGTCACATAGAAGGGAAACAATAAAATTATAAAACAAAATTATCACGACGTTTTGACCACAGTTGTGGTTTTCACACCTGATGATGATTGCTTGTGTTGCAGTCGAAGCGTCGTGAGAATTGTATAGTTTTATCTGTATTATTTAATTATTTCCCTTCTAATTGACTTTACCGAAAGAACCAAGAATATGAATCCCTGCAGTCACGAAAGCTGTAAATCAAAATTTCAATCTTTTTAATTACTCCCCACAGGCTTGGATGCAGCCATTTCCTTACTTCTGCTGATGAACCGCCACGTATTTGATTACATTGAACCGCGTATATTAGGAAAATACATAGGGCTCCAACTTGCAGTGACTTGGCCTAAAAACTTTTTGACGATGTGTGGGAGGATGGCAGTTCTAACATTGACAGTGAAAGAGTGAGAGCAACCCAAAAACAACGTCCCTCCGTCGCCCAATGTTCCTTTGTCCCGGCTGTACTGTGTATCCATTGACATTTGTGTGGCTGCGACAGGAACTTAAAGTGTACGCTTATGTGCCTATGTTAATACGTGTTTATGCGTTACGTTAATATTCTACAGCTGCACCCTTCTGGGCGCCTGCCCTACCCACATCGGGAAGGAACATGCTGGGTTCAGTATATGGCTCCACATGTACTATATCTGAGTTGTATACAGTACATAACGTGCTGTATAGTGTGGTGTAATGTTACAAACCGACACACCTGATGACGACCGTTTGTGTTATGGTTGAAACGTCGTGAGAATTTTTATTGTTTTATATATATTTTATTATTTTATTGTTTCCCTTCAACGTGACTTTACCGAAAGAGCTAAGAATATCTTTCGGTAATGTCACGTAGATAGATTTAAAAAAAACTACGTTTTGATCACAATGCAAGCGGTGATATATTTTTTTTAAAGATGACCCCTTGTGTTGCAATCGAAATGTAGTTTTTGTTATTTTCTTTGAACCTACGTGACTACCGAAAGACCCAAGATATGGCGTTTGTAACCACCATACCTATCAACCCATACGGGTGGTTTATCCGTATTCTTTTACAGGGAAATTTATTTAAAACATCTTTTTGTCTTTATTTGTGTTTCTCCCTTGTGACGGGACTTTGTTGGATGAACGTTGAGTTTTATAAAGGGCACGGGGTGACCAATAAGGTCTGAATTGGTCTGTAATAAGGTAGCGCATTTATAAGGGGTTGATAGGTATGTACTACACTATTATGCATTATACACCACTACTACTATACACTACCATACCTGTCAACCCATACTGTTTACCCCGTATTGTACAGGGCAATTTAATTTTCAGGTTCATACAGCATACAGCCATTTCAATACGACCTAAACAATTGTTCGTCTATGGTACTTATACTTTAAAATATTAAAAAAACAAGACATGGCATAGAAATAGGTTTTACCCTTTTAACTGGCACAAAAAGCTGTCTCGGGTGTGGACCAATCAAATTCAAGGACAGTGCATATTATCAGAGTTGTCTTTTTTGTTTGCATTTTGACTGCTTGTGTTGTGGTTATTGCAAACATGATGCCTTGAATAAAGGTGTCAGTTTTTGTGCCAGTTAAAAGGGTAAAACCTATTCCTATATCTTGTTTCTGGCAAAGGAGGTCTCATAAAGACATGGCATTATAAAATCACTGCAACTATTATTGTACATTGATTAACAAATTTAAATAAACGGAAAAGGTATATATAATTAAATAATGGGGTAAAATCACCCCTGGTTGATAATGGTTTCTTGCTCCGTGTGTTTTAAAGGATAAATTATTTGATTAAATTGTAATTAAACTTTAAAATAAGTAAAACTAAATTTCATGAAATTGTTATGAAACTTTAGAATGTGTTTTTAAATATAAAAACACTTTTAAAAAATCCCCGATTGTAAATATTGTTTTAGCCAATCAACAGGCAGGAAAAAAGGAGCGTTCCCATGACACATGCACATGTGGTGCCACAGCAACGGAGCAACTCCGCCGGCGCTGCTATCCCCTCGCAACCCCCCACATGAACACACGCACACCCCCTCTAAACACACACACACCCACGTAGTTCTTTGTGGGGGGGTCACCTGGCACTCTGGGTCTTTACCCAAGGGCCCCCGCGTGGGAATGTCCCACGGTTTCCCAGTGCCAGGAGATTGGCCGCCCCCCCCCCCCCCCCCCCAGGCCGAGTTACAATGCGGTCCCCATGAATTGGCTTAGAATTGTATGGGCACGATGAAGCTCCCTGGGCAAACCGCAATGAGAACACACTGAAAACGGGAATAGGGCCGTGGGGAGAGCAACACCTAGCGAGCTGACTAAAACAACAAAGCATCAACCAAGAGTACGGGAGGGAAGGACGGGCGCTCAACACTGGGTGAAGGCATGCCGGCGCAGCCGCGGCGGGTTGAAGGGCGGGGCATCAGTTGAGTATTGAAAGATAGGCACCCGATTGGCTGGGAGGGCAACACAGCGAGCTGGCTAAAACAACAACATCAACTAGATAAAGAGGGAAGAGGAGAAACGTTGGTCAGTTCTCGAGTCAGCTAGCGACCCAGTCGGACTCCCAGCCGCTCGAGCGTCCGAGAGACACTGGCGAGAGCAGCTACAGCTCAACCCAGGCAGAGACCTCTCGGACCCTCATCCCTCCGACTCCCATTGCGTCCGTGAGATACTGTGAGTACGTCCGAGGGGTGAGGAATAGCGCGAGGGTTTGGATAGAAATAGGTAGGATGCTGCTCGCTGGGTATTTAACTCCAGGTCACGCAGGATTTTTTTTTGGGCGAGCCAGTAATAAACTTTAGCACAGAGCAACGACGCCGTGTGATTTCTGTGTGCATGGGGAGAGCGTAGGGGTGGCGTGAGTACGTGCGTACGTGTGAAGCGTGCGGGTGTACTCAACGCGTTTTACGCAGTGTGTTTACGCAGCGACGACCGCATTGAGGGTGTTGGCGTGGTGCGTAATTCGAGAGTGGGTATGAGGCCGCGGGGGCAGTAATTCATTAACAGCCCCGCATCTGTGCCGCATGCTTGCGCTCGTCGTGCGTGTTGGCACAGCGGATTAAGGCCGAATATTATCAATATGGTCGTCTTTGTTTTCACGTGCTCACGCGTGCGTTTACACAGAAATAGCCTTAACGGCGAGACGTGCGCCCGGGGTCCCGCCGCAGGTCCCCTCCTTTTCGTTTACATCAGTGGTGGTAGGCTAAGGTTGCATGTTCCTACAGCCCTGTCCCCGTTGTCCCCTTCCCGCTAGCATTAGCATCTGTTTGCACAGCGAATTAAGGCCGATCCCACGGGAGGCGGGAGGGGTGCGTGCATATTCATACGGCTATTTTTAACGCGAGTCGGGACAAGCAACCTGAGCAGGCACGCGCGTGCACGCAGCCACCGCAGCAGGTACGGGTGGCTGCACGTGGAGAGCAGCA